CCATTGTCGCTTATTAAATACAACAAAAATATCTATCTAAATATCATCTACATTGTGAAGAATGTTCATTTACGTACATAAAAAAATAAATAATTATCTGGTTGCTTGTGTGACGGAAGATAAATAAAATAAAAATAAACATAAATAAACGAATTTTATTAGAGTGTTTAATAAAAATAAAATGGATAAAAAACCATTTAAAGTTTTTTTTCAGTATAATTCGCTCTGCCTGCTTTCATAAATGATGATCCTCTCTCCTGTATTTTAAAATGTTTGTCAAAATACGGATAATTTACGGTAAAAGACCCGTTTTAAATTTACTTACTAAACATATCTCGAATATTATTTTAAATCATATTCGAAGCTAAAGAATAAAGAGGAGTTTTGGGTCTTTCAAACGGAACTAAAGGGATTTAAATGTAAAACGTCGTGAGATGAAAAGTAAATCTCGTATGTATCAAACTATTCTGTTCTTACACAGAGTTTCCAAATGTAAAGAAGTGTGTCTTTCGTACACTATGGGTTTTTACATAATGTGGTTTCATTAACATTTAATCTATGAGGGTTTGATTCGCTCCAGTCTTGGCTGTTGTCTCTGAGGCGTTTACAAACTTGGGTTAATTAAGATCCAAAGTCTTTCATCTTTTCAGAGTGAAACAAAAGTTGAACTTTTAATCAAAAACTTCTTTAACAGCTAAAACTGCGCCATCACTGATGAAGGAGCTCTTTGAAGTTACAGGTAACACACCCATTACAGAAGCTGCTGTCAGTCATCGTCCACTTCAAACCATCAAAGGGTCAGGGGTCAAATCAAAGTCCAGATTTCTTCTCATGTCTGAATTCAGGAGCTGATTAACATGTTAAAGAGCAGAAGGTGTTTAAAGGTGGACGCTGGAGCTCTCGGGTCACAGAGAGAAACCATGGACCGAGGCCGAGTGTCGGACTTCAGCATCGAGCGCATCCTTTCCCCGCAGCTCGGCCCGAGGCCGCCGCTGCAGGACTTTCCACCGAACGGGTATCACCGGGGGGTCATCGGCAATGTCAGAGCTCCCTCGCCGGTCCAGGTCCCGTTACAGGCGATGGGCTGCCAGCAGTGCAGAGAGATGAGCTTCGGAGAGGAACGATTCCCGCTTTACAGACCCGCTGTCCATCAGCAGCACTTCTACTCAAACCCCGGAGTTTACGCGCACTTCAGCCAAAACCGTGCCGGTAAGCAGAGCCTCTCACAGTTCAAGTTTTATTTCTTCACCAAAACTTTGAGACTCTTTTTTTAAAAATGGGAAACTTTTATTATTTTTCGGATTTAGTCACAGTCAGGATGTGTTTGCTGTGATATTCATGCTTCTGTTTTGTCTGATTCTTTCTTCGCTAAAAGCATTTCTGGTCCTTTCCCCCCCAGATATGCAGCCTCTGGCGGCTTACAGCGGATACCCGCAGCCCTCGGCGGTGCCCCCGCAGTCGCTTCACAAGTTCCGGGTGAGGACGGTGTTCACTGACAGTCAGATCAAGCAGCTCGAGGCGCTGTTCGAGATCACGCACTACCCCTCAGTGGAGACTCGTGCCGAGCTGGCGAGGCGCACCGGGCTGAGCGAGGAGACCGTCAGGGTGAGTCCGACATGATGATTTGGGGTGTGAGGCTGTCAGGAGGCCGTGAGGAACGAACAAGTGACCGTCCGTGCGTAAAATCCCTCCAAGTTACACAAAAGGCTCCCAAGTTCCATTTTACTTTGACTCAAGTAATTAAAAATAATAAGGGTATTTTATTACATGCATACATTAAACACAAAGGCCTTTTTTAATCTTTGCGCACAGAGCAGCAGGGAATGAACAACATACGAATTCACTATTTAGAAAAACATCATTAAACCAGAGTTTATGTTATTATTTAACAATTTTAAGATTCTGCATTTTGAAACGGAAAAAACAATAAAAATGTCTCATGCGCAGGCGCTGTAAATGGTGCATGTAATGACAGCAAACTCGCTGATGGGGAAACTGAAATATTCCTGAAATTTGACTTAATTGTTTTGACTAAATTTGACTCGTGCTGTAGCCGAAGTTTCATGTTTTGTAGAACTGACTCATTAAATAAGAGGAGAAAAAATAGTTGCCTGGAAAAGTTCGAAGACTTTTAAATGTTTATTATCAGTGAAGATGGACGGTGCTACGGTGATCCAGTACCTTTGAATCTCTTTAACGTTCCCAGTACTGATACTACACTGGTTACTAGTTTTCAGTATTGGGCCTTTTGAAACATTAGGTACCTTCATGCCTTCCAACATACTGTAGTGTTTGAGTACTTTAGACCTTTACCCGGTATTTCTAATAGATGAAGACCTGTGAAGGATTAGTACTTCACTAAGATTGCAGTTTGTAGTTCAAGATTACAGTTTTGGTACTGAACTGTTATATTTTTGTAAGCTGCACTGTCCTCTCAGACCGAAATGCGCACGCATATTAGAGTCACGAGACTAACTCTGTGTCTCCTTCGTTTCCAGGTGTGGTTTAAGAACCGCAGAGCTCGGAGGAAGCGTCAGTGAAGCTCGCTCTTCTTCTCCGAGAACACCTTCACCTCCCAGACTGCCCGCCTGCTGTTCACCTGAAGCCGAAGTCCCTGAACCCTTAATGGCCAGTAGGAACACGAGCCTTATTTATGACACTGCCCCCTGGTGGCAGTACACGAAAAGGCTTTACGCTGCACATTTCTGAGCCTTGTCTCAATACCACGATGAACCTCAGGAAGAATGAATGATGAAATGTTTCGTTCAGACTGTTTGGCCTAAAATTTAATTTATAAAATTCTTCTTTTTCTTTGAGCATTCAAAAATAAAAAAAACGCACCTTTGAAGCAGAGTTTGTAACTTGGAGAGGTTTTTGAAAATAAATGGAGTTATGATTAAAATCCATAATATCCAGTTCTGTGTGTTTGTGCCTTTATTCACAGAATCAGTAACATGATTTATAATGTTCTTTGTATTGATGCACATTCAGGAACACATGACAGGTAGTGTTACTGCAGGGCTGGACTGGGACAAAAAAATCAGCCCGGGCATTTTGACTAGAGACCGGCCCACCGTGGTATTATAGGAAAAGCCATAAAGCCTTTGTAATAAACTTAAACCTACACCGTCCTCCCTATTCTGCTATTCTAAACAGTACTTAAAAATATAAAACAACCTAATTTATAATTACATATTCCTCACTAATAGGGTTGCCAACTCCCAGCAAAAAAAGAAAAAAAAATAGGGAACCCTCTGCCTCAAGATGCTTAACTGACAAAAACGTTTTTAATTTAATGCACGTATAAAACAAATGCACAGAAATCTGTTATTTTTCTCCAGTAATTAAATAGATTTAACATCTTTCTTCAACAGAATTGCAGACTGCACAGATGCTACCTTCCCAAAGGAAAGAATACCATAACTTACTAGGATATATACTAGGCTTAATATTTACTGAATACAATAATGGATTTCTATAAATTTGAATCAGATGAAAACTTTGGTTGTAAGATTCAGATAATTATTTATTCAAAGTGAGACATTTTAAATGAGAATAAGAAAGAAAAGTATTTCTTTGTGCCCCCCTCTCCCTGTTAATGCCCTACCTGCCCCCCTGGCAACACTTTGCTAGACCCGCCCCTGCACAGTTACCAGCTGTCAGCTGCTTAGAAAAGGATCCTGGTGTTATTTGTCTCTCAGAAACAGTTCATAACTTCAACTCATCCATGTCACCTAAAAGGTAAACCTGTTTCTCCATCACCTGTTCAGCTCTGATGATCCAGTAAGGACATCTCCTGGTTTCATCTTCATGTTTCCCTCTCACCAGATAACCAAACCATCATGACCAGCAGCTTTACAGCTGTGGCTCCAGCAAACATCAGCTGATACTAGAAATTAATATGAAATCAATTCTAACAACAGCTGATCAAGCTTAAACGTGCTGCTGTTGTTTAGCGCGACATCCGCTGGTTTCCGGTTCTGGCGCAGAGAGAAAAGCTGACCATTGATCAGTTTTAATGATTGAATTAGCAACTTTCTAGCTGAAGAGGAACGGGGACAAATCGCTTTCCTTTTCACCTCAACTTTAAAGTTCGACCTCCTCGGCTGTAATTGGTCCAGCCCAGAGTCGATCATGACCAACTGGCCAATCCACCACCTTTCATTTATCCCGTTACAAAAAGAAAAGAAATAAAACCCCATCGGCCCATAAAAACGAAAGATCCCGGTATGACTGGGGTTTGTGTCGTAGTAGCGACGAAGACTGTGACGAGAGGAAAGTGTGTTCTGAAAACTGGCCACTGGGTGTCACTGTTAATCATTTTTAATTGTGGTCTGGAGTAAAACAAGCTGTTACGTGACATCGTTTTGTTGGAGACTAAAAGAGTAACACAAGGCTGGCCAAGCAACCATAGCACAAGAGGCAGGGTCCACACAGGACAGTCTGTGACAGAGAAATGTTGCTGCAGTAAATGTAGAAAACTCTTTTTATTAAATCTTTGCTTAAATTGTAAGAAATGTGTAAAATGACAGAAATCTATCATTTCTTTGGTGTATTATAAATGGCTGTGGGTGAGGTCTTTGTCAGAGAACAAACAAACCACATTTAAAATCCAAAATCATTTTCCTCCTTCACATTTTCCAAAGGGCCTCATGTTTGATACCCCAGGTCTACAGACACCTGTGTGAGCCACGGAGGAGCTCACGGGGAGAAAGAAGCACAAAGAATCCCCATCAAACTAAAATCAACATGTAATTATGCTGCAAGTATGAATTTATTTATACTTATTGTCTGTCTAAAATGTAAAAATATGCATATAAATCATTTTCACTCTGCAGATTTTGTGGGTGTGCTCTGATAATTGGCTACAAGGTGTCAGTGTGAATCCTTTTATAGTCTGATGAGTCAAATAAAAAAAGATAATAAATGTATCAGTTTTATTCGTTACTGTTTCACCTGATTTTATCTGAACGCAGATAAAAAGTCCAGCAGACAGAAGGTTTAGAAAAACATCAAATCTTTATTATATTCATAGTTGTTATTATTAGAAGCATTTTCATGCTGATGAGAAGATACACTGAAAACCCGAATGAGAAAATACTGAGAGCATGCAGTGAGGATCTGTTAGGAAGAAGACGTCGATGCTCCTTCTCTCCTGTTTCTGCTTCCGCGCCCGTCGGCTTTAAACACACTTTGAAAACAGGAGTGACGCACACACATGGACTAAAGTAACACACACGCACACTTTACAAAACCAGAGAACAAAAAGTACACTTAGTGAAGTTATCAAAATATAGGCTATATACTGTATAATCTTCAGACTCCGAATGTTGAAACGAGCAGCGCCGAGTTCGTTTCTGTGATTTCGACGTTACATCCTCAGACAGCCGTCACTTCTTTAAAGGACACCGACTCTCTCAGTTAACTACAAATCACAGTTTCCATTCCTGCTGATCCAAACATGACTGATTTCCTTCCTTTAAGCAGCCGCTGGCGTCAGTGCAGCTCTGAAAATCTGCTTGCAGAGAAGTTGTGTTGCAAACAAGAGCTGAGCTGCTAAAACTGTCCAACGGCTCCCGGCTTCACATCAGGAGGAAAGAAATCACAGAGGCGACTGACAATAAACTCCTGACTCAGCTTCGTCTTGAGTTGTGGAAGATGAGAGACGATCGCCGTGTTTGTGCTCATACGACATAATAACAACGCTTCTCCAGAACCAACCGTGATCACGGATGCACTGATCGGATATTTGGGTTGTCTGTCAGTCTGACGCCGAACACTTCAACAAGTCGTTCAGCTGTATGTAGCTTACACCGCCCATCAGCAAGGGCCTGTCAGCTGTGGTGCAGCATGGAGGGAGCCAACAGGAAAGCAACTCTGAGGCTTTTCACACGTCCGATGCAAACAGCTTTTATTTGTGGATGATACAAACGTGCATGTGAGGAGCACTCAGACCGAGAGGACCAAAGGAAACTAAAGTAACAGACGCGACGCACAAATCAGTTCAACCAATGATATTTTTGTCTTCCAGACACTTGAAATACAAACAGATTTCCTGAATATCTGTTGTATTTGTGAGTCTTTAATAAGATAATATTGTCATAACCTTGTTTTTGTTTGGTTTCATCAGGGAAGCTGCCCTCTGGTGGACCAACGTCAACACTCATAACGAGGCTAACGGGAGTTTCTCTTCTTTGCTTTTAAATTTTCACTTTCAGGCTCCAGCTTCCAGTAAAGATCAGTAAAGATCACTGCTTCCTCATCCCAGACTGTTCCTGGGTCAGTCCTCGATATCAGCAGACACCCAAAGCCAGGCTACCACACTGGAGCTGAAAAAGTTTGATCGGTGCATCCCTGATCACGATTCTCAGGATACATGTATTTAACGTCATCTCATCTTGTTGAAGTGTGGAGAAACGAAGCCAACGTGGGCGATGAAGGCATCAAACAGGATTTTCATTTGAAACCAAAAAGTGGAAACATTTCTAGAACATTTTTAATTTACAGTCACATTTTGGTTTCGATTAGGAGAAGATGATGGCTACGACGTGACGGAGTTTCAGTGGCTGAATCTCGACAAGGATGCAAAATTTCAAACATTCCTGCTGCCTCAAAGTAAGGAAACCAATCTTAAAGTAAGGAAACCAATCTTAAAGTAAGGAAACCAATCTTAAAGTAAGGAAACCAATCTTAAAGTAAGGAAACCAATCTTAAAGTAAAAGCATGTTTGAAATCCAATCAACAAAAACGACAAAGTGAGAGTTTGTAGTTAAAGAGCTAAATCAGGCAAAAAGAGCGGCAACGGCCTTGGATACAGAAACCAAAGTGAAAATATGTGGCGATAAAAACGTCTGTAACGCTTCCTTAATAACTGGTGACGCTCCACATCTACACAGCACGCTACGTTCAAACCGACATATCGACTGTACTGTTACTGTACGTTTACTGTACAAAGACAAACCTCCACCATCACTGCGGTCCACTAACGCTCGCCCGACTGGGTGGAGCTTCAGCATTGAACGCCGTGCTACGACAGCTGACTTGTGGCGATGAATTTCCAGTGTGAAACTATAAACAGATGCAAATACGACACGTGGACTGACTCCGGTTCGTCTGGCTTGTTTGGGCTGTGGCTGTGATATTTATTTGTGAAGGTAAAGCAGTAAGTCATCTGCACATCGCTCGAACGTCTAGTCCCATTTTTCAAAAAGCTGCTTCTCAGGACAGTTTTGGACGGTTCCAACAACTCGATGGATGCAGGACTGACTTTTTGTGTTCATCTCATCCATGATGATTTCAGGACATCCTTAAAGCAGCTTAAATTTACTACAGTCCTACCAGGACACCAGTTTGTGTCCGTGGGGAACGCGACATGACTCAACCTACCGCTCGTCTGGTTAAGTCATTCAGAGGCGAGGCTCAGGTCAAGTTCAAGCAGGAATGAAAGGTTTGTGACCACATGGACTAAATCCTGCAGCTGACTGAGTTAAACTGAGCGCCCGGTGAGTGGAAAAGCAAAAGCACTGCAGTTCTCGTTAGTATAATGTTGAAGCTGATTCCACGGGCACAAACAGGACATTATCCACAGCAGTGTGCACGAGCAACCACAAATGTCTCCTTTGGCCGAGGCTGCAGAGCACACGGAGAGAAAAACCGGCAAGCCCCGCCTGAGAGGCTCTTAACGACCTCTTCATTCTCTAAAATGACCTTCCACCAGTGTTTGCAGGAAGGTGGTTGGTCATATTTCATAATTCTCATAGTTTAAAGTTTTACATCTCTGGAAGCTGCCCGGTCTTGCTCATGAGATCTGAATGCTCCGTCCAAGAATCAGATAACAGAATAATGAAGCAGCACAAACTGAGGATCTGACCTCACCAGATACGCTCCACGGTCTTCCTGGTGGCATCTGGGTCACTTTCCACTTGACTTTGATAAAAACTGAGGATGGATTTCATCCCTTCGCTTGTCCGGTTATTCTCTGGGCTCGCCCCAGCAGCCTCGGCCATCCGAGCGCGAGTGTGTTCATCTCTCTGTATCGAGTGCTCACAGAGTGTAACGAGACATTAACACAGGAAACGTTTCCACACAGAGATACTGTTTACATATTGCTGTTTCTCAGTTATGCAGAGATTTACCATTAAGCACACATTTAGGTTAGCTTGTGTTTTTCTTTTCGCGGATGCTCACATTCACAAAAGATACCAAAGTCTTATTTAAATGGAGAGAGAGAGGAGCGAGAGAGGAGGGTCAGAGGAAGATCAAAGATTTGGACTCGGGAGCTCGTTTGGGGGTTAAACTTCTAAGTAAAGGTCATTAAAAACCTCGAAATGGAGGCGCTGATGAAGGGACGCTTAATATTACAAAGACATATTCAACCCTGAATGGACTGGACATCACATTTAGCTGGAACTGAAGCTCGTGTTCAGAGGCAACATAAAGACATGACAGTCTCATGAAATGGGGCCAGAAACGTCAACGGTTTGGGTCCGTTAGCAGTTTATGGTTAACAGATTACAACTGGAGCCTGTTATTAGTGTTAAAGTCAGAGTATTTGGCAGTACGCTGATTAGCAGTGACTACAATCAAAGGTACTTTTTGTAAAGAATTCTTGGACAAAAGCAGATTCAATCCTTCAAAAATGATTTTGCTTGCGCCTTTATGTCAAAGACATTTATGTTGCAGATGCAAATTGATGTAATACCTCTGTCGACCACCAGGTGGACCTAAACTGCTCACGAGAAATTCTAAAATTAGCTCAACATTCGTACAAATGTTGCTAATCAGACTTATTTTATTCATTGGAGCACAAAAATCGTTCTGTGCATGTAGACGACTGTAGTGCTGGTGGAAAACTACACTGGAGCTCAGATGAAGCGCTGCCACCTTGTGGTGAAAATGTGCGTTGCATTTCCTGCCAGACGTTTGCTAAAAGTACCTTTAAAGATTAACGGCTGACAAACAGCAGGATAAACATCAAAGCTGTTCTTTGTGGTCAGGAAAAATGTAAAAATGTAAATTAAAAATAAAGCTTTTTCTTGTTATTAAATGTTAGCATCCACACTCCTCCACATACCCGGAGGCCAAGAACCACTTACTTATCTCACACATCAGCAGTGGAAATAAAGTCTCCTACAGACAATTATTGGCTGCGTTCAAGTAAAAACCCTGTTTTCACTTCTGAGTTTCAAACAGTTTGGAGTCGGGATGTTTTCTGGGATTTTCCCTCCATGCACTCGGGATTTTTACATCTTAACTCAAGCGGAGACGGCAGAGGTTCTTGGTCTCAGGCGAGCAGACAAACTTATTTTGCACAAACTGTTTGAGCTCTCATGCGCTGCTCTTGTTCATTTGTGCAGAAAGCGTCTGAGAATTTAACAAACACATCTGCCAAACCACAAAGCACAGGCTGAATATCTGCATTATTGTCCACGTTTGAGCTAGCTTGTGCCGAGCTTAGCATTAATGACAAAATCTGTTTAAGACCCAAAGCTAGTAGCAGCAAAAACAAAAGCACGTAGCAGCACAAACGAACGTTTGGTGGTTGTTGTTAGGCCCCGAATGACAGCACAGCACGGACAAATACCGAGCTGGGACGATGAGGTGAGAAGACGTGAAAGGTTGGGTTTTTTGGAGGAATCGGATTCTCGGTTTCTTCAAAGGAATGCGGAACGTTTTGATCAGATACAAGGCACTATAGATTTTGCTATAGAACGGCTAAATTAGGAGGTTCTGGGCTGAGATTAAGAGAGGAGGGGGACGGGGTCACCACGAGAAGTTTGACTGACGACGGCGAAAGTCGGTGAAAGCAGGAGTAGAAGATGGAGAGCAAGTACAGCGGAGAGATCTGATCTGGTGGTGGAGTAGAAGAGAGAAGAGGAAGGGTGTAGTTAGGACTGCATCTCAGCGCGCAGCATCCACGGAAACCAACAACAGAAGAGCAGCCTGCAGGAGACGAGGAGGAGGAGGAAGAGCAGGGTTCAGTAAGTCTAATCCTGCCTGCTTTGCTGGACTTATTTGGACTTTTGATAAAAAGGTGAAAACAGTTTTATTTTGCTTTTCTTTTAAAAGCTCAAATTGAACCGTTTCCAAAATTTCCTCTTGTCAAAAAGTCCAAAAAAGCCGAACAGCAAAGAGCGCAGGACTGTAATGTGACGGAGCAGGGCTGACCTGGATATGGAGCTCTCAGACGTGAGGTCTTTAGGAGAACGCATCGTGTTGAAGTTACGCTTCGGCTGTGACACTGCAGCGCACAAGCACACAACGTTTGTTAGAACAAGGAGACAAATACGGTTTTCAGGGGTAAAGAATGATAATTAAACACTATGGTCGTCACTTACTGGTGATCTGGTGGACCTTCTTCACCGTGGAGCTGTCGTTCTGTGAGCCGTCCTTAGGGCCTCCGATTCTGACAACAACAGTGTTTATTGGCGACTTTTAAGGCGTCGCTCAGGAATCAAAGATTTTAAAAAGCCTTAATGTCACATCGTCCTGGTTACTTTGAAGCTTCCCGCCAAGCTTCCACAGCTTTTAATGCTCTGCTGTATTTTCAGTTTTTTTCATGTATTTAATCTTTTTCATTTCCAACATTGGAAGAATTTCTGAGCTAATTAATCCTGAAGCTGATTATCTCCCCATTCTCATTTATTACACACACTAAAACATCACGGTACCTTCGACATATCCTCACCTCTGGACACGGGAGGGCGGAGCAAACACTCCATATTTGGGCAGGCAGCTGAAGTAGCGGACCCCAAACACCGAGCCGTCGTGTTTCCCTGTGGGCTGGTCCAGCTCGATACCGAACCAGTAACCTGCAGGGACACAGATCCGGTCACAGCTGCTCTGTCTGATAAGCATTTCTGCAGGATTAGTGCAAAGTTTCTCCGGACTGGAGAAGGACAGACAACACAGTCCTACAAGTATCCACGTGTGCACAGTTCAGAGAACCGACTGAGGATCAGCAAACGCACCTGGAGCAAAGTCCGTCTTGCCAAAGTAACGAACGATGCCGTGCTTCTGTCCGGCTACCAGAACCTGATCTCCGACCTCCACATTCATTCCCTCTGGATCCAGACTGGCTACTGAAGCCTTCTTCTTCTGGGCTGAGAATGCAGAACAAAACTGATGAGAAGCACAGATAAACCTAATCGAATGAAGCTATTAGCAAAGACTGTAGCTCGGTTACCTTTCTCTCGCTCTTTCTCCTTCTTCTCTTTCTCCTTCTTGGTCTTTCCTGCGAGGCGGGAGGCCAGATCCATGCGGGGTGTTCTTGGGGTGGAGGTGACTGATGAAGCCGTCTGGTCCACAGATTTGGAAATCTTTGAAACTGGAGCGAAAATCCCTGCAGGGCAGAAGTAGATCAACGCAGTGAGAAACAGCAACAACTCCTGTTTCCATGCTGGAAAGATGACGAGCGTGCTCCTCCAGAAGCCTCCACAAGAACAGTCGGTCAGTGAGTTTGTTTACGATGAAATCAAAGAGCTCACACCAGGACTTGCAGCAGGGACAGCCGACTGAACATGAACAAGGAGATGACTTTAAACGGTGAAATGAGGGAAGGACTCTTCGTGTTTGCCTCCTGTGTTTTTTAGTGATGCTTTTGATGAACAGAGATATGACGTCTTTAGATGTCATGTTCTCTGATGTATTCACTGATTCGCTGGATGTTCTAAAGCTTGGAGGTCTTGAAGAGCCACAGTCACTTCCTGCAGATTCAGGAAGTATTACTAAACTTGAGTTAGGTTTGTCTGACTCCCCTTTGGAGGTTTTCTGGGAACATCCAATGGGGAGCAGATCAGAACTCACTTGTGAGAACCCGGAGCAACTGGAAAAATCCTGGGAAAAGTCGCCTAGAATACGCTACTTAACACGGTGACTTGATTTCAGCTAACGGGAACAAAATGAAAGGAGTCTTTGTCTCGCCTGTAGAAACCACAAATCTCTCACCTAACTTCGGAGGGCAGATGAAGTAGCGGACGCCGCCCACGCTGCCATCGTTCTTGCCCTCTGGCTCGTCTAGCTCCACGCCGACCCACTGCCCGCTGGCGAACTCTGTAGTACCACAAAACCTCAGAGTGCCAGCCTGAGAGACACAGAAACAAAAAGAGAGGGCGGAGTCAGAGGTGACCTCTCGCACTCTCGGAGCATGACTGCAAAAGAGATTTTTTCTGGTTAGGTTGCATGGGGGCAGATAGTCTGGGTGTCTGCTGCTGTGTTTTATGAAAGGGACGAACGTGACATCAATGCTACAGATGGAGTGACGGTGATTTCATAGGAAGACAACATGTTGGCAGCGTGGTGAGTCACTTCAGTTAGTCTACAATCCAGCCACTCCAACCAACCTGTCTGCGTTTTGCAGCCGGGCTGTCGTCTCTGCTCTGGTCTCTGTGGGGCTGCACAGTGAAAACACACTGTTCAGAGCTCAAGAAGCACAGTGTGAAGGACAAACTGCCACCACACACACACACACACACACACACACACACACACACTGCTGTTTACATGTTGTTAAAAAGAAACTGCCGATCAGATTAACCTCTTAACATCCACTGGCAACCCCCCCAAAGGCTACAGGGTCCTATTTTAAACGCCCAAATGTAAAAGCTGTTAATAAAAAACTGCAATTCAAACAAGACTTTATTTGAAATGTAACATCTTCTAGTTTCTGAAAATCTGCCGACCAAAAATAACGACTTGATGCTCGATCATCCAGGTAAGTAAATCTGTTGAATATGTTCGTTGGGATTTAGACTTTTCAGTGGGAGAAACATCAACTCATCCAAGTAAAGCCATTGTTCCTTCAGTGCTGCAGGTTTCAGTCACTGTGCAAATGTCCTGTTTATAAGGTTGAAACCTGCAGTCAGCTGAGACTGAAGACGTCACCTGATGATGATGAAACGTTTCTCCCACTGAAAACGTCCAGATGAACAGAATCCTGCAGAAACTGCTCGAAAATCCACCTACGGAGCAAATTCCAAACCACCGATCCCTTCCACATGTCAACCCAGATCAATCCAGGTGTGAAACCCCAGGTGAACATCAAGAAAACACTGGACTAACCTGGAGAGCATTGCTCCAAAAACCAGACAAAACTAGTTTCCAGGCAGGAGGGAAACTGGAATGAGAGTTTTGACACCAAAGTACAACTTCTGGCTTTCGATAAGAAGAAAATGCTGCATTCAACCATAAGAGCGTCATTAAATCAGTGAAGCATGGTGGTCAATCAATCATCATCAATGAAACGATGAATTCTGACTTATAATTAGCAGAAAATATCAGGAGACCTGTCTGTGAACTGAACCGTGCAGCAACACAAGAACCATCATCGCATCCTACAAAGAAGAAGAAGAAGTCCTGACTCAGAGCCCCTCCCTGTCAGAGCTGAGGATGCCTGTACCTGGGAATGGGGTCAAATCCCTCAACAGCTGCCTGAAAAGGTCGTTTGTAGTTTTTGATACACGAGGTGGCTCACAGCAAATATCCAAAGCAAAGGTCCACATACCTGTAACCCTCTGGAGTATTAAAAAGTACAAATCTAACATTTTAATGTAATTTCCTGTACTTGCTTCTCTTTGAGTCTCCTTGACCTCCATCCACCAGCTGCCACAGAACATCTTAGGGGTAGTTTGCATGTGAGCGACACGCTAAACAAGCACCGGCTCAGAAACTAGAAGATGCCACCTTCCAAATCTAGTCTCTTACACGAGTTCGGTCTTTTGTTGCAAGTCTGCATATGAGCACAAATATCATGTAAGTGAGTAGACGTGAACCAAACTGTAGCTCTAACCCTAAAGAGGTCACTGTTGACCTGGTGGATGTTCAGAGGTTCAGGACCGTGATGTTTTAGGTCATGTTTATGCAGAAATACAGAAGATTTGTTGTTTCAATGTCCGTCAATCCATTTATCCCAGTTTGATCTCAGCGTGTCTGACCTTCATGTCGTCCAGCACCACGCGGTCTCCCAGCTTCAGCCCCAGAGCGGCCAGCATCAGGTTTCCTGGGATGTTGTCGTAGTTGGGCAGCGTGGCTCTGGGAAGATTGCAGCTCAGTGGAACGGCGTCCAGTAGCAGCTGCTTCAGCTCTTTGGCCACCATTGCCGCCTCCGCCTTGTCCAGGCTCATGTCCATTGGGTCGGGAACCACCTCTGCTGGAACCTGACCCTTATCGTTCTGCAGAAACAAGTCAGAAAGTCAGATTTGAGACGATAAATCACCATTAAGGGTCTCTGGATTTCAGCTTTAAAGGAACAGCAGCACAAAAAAACTCAAGGAGCTGAAGCAGTCTTATTATCCTTATCCTCCACCTGCAGTTCAGACCTTCACAGACTGGATCAGCCAATCAGAGGAGAGCTCGGCAGAAGCTAAAAAGGCTTGTTACAGAATTCAAAAGAACAGAGGGTCTGCACCAAGGACCGGGACAACGTAAAGAAGGATTACTTTGAACTGAAAATTATGCAAAGCTACGTTAACTCATGAATTAAAAACAAACAAACATGGAGCTGGAGATGAGCCCATTTAATTAGGCCCCAGTAGTAGGTAAGGAAAGCTGTCCTTACCCGGATGGTGGGGTTGGCTCCGTGCTCCAGCAGACATTTGACTGCACCCAGGCAGAGGTTGGAGGCGGCGATGTGGAGAGCCGTACCATAGTGGAAATCGCTGCATGTGGAGTTCAGGACTGAGAAGAACACGGAAGGAGAGTCTCACCTCCTGTTACCTTCAGAACGATCACTAGAATACTGCCTGGTGTAGAAATTACCTCTGGGTTTGGCTGCTTTGAGCAGGACTCGGATCAGCTCCGGGACGTCGAAGTACGCGGCATAGTGCAGGGCGTTCATGTTGGTCCAGCGGCTCCTCAGACTCACGTCGGCGCCCAGCGAGATCAGCTGAGTGGTGAGACGCAGCGCTGCCGCCGGGTCGCCTGCACACACAATGAGGACGAAACTAAGACGCGGAGGAGCTGAATCCACCACACGCACAGACGCCGGCCGCCCCAGAGCAGGTCCAAGCAGCTGCCCTGTACAATAACTTGGAACCACGCGAGAGCTCGAGTCGGCATTATTCCCAGTTGTTACATCAGGACGAACTAGAGGAACGTGGGACCTGAAACAAGGATCGCCCCTCTGCTCTTCCTCCTGAAGCAAAATCTCTTCTGAATCGAGGGTGGAAGGATTTGAGACTTTGGACTGAAGTTGGTTTGGTGTGTTGTTGGGATTTTTTTGTTTCATGTGATTTGTGATTATTAGAATTCAACCCCCTGAGGTCCAAGTTTTCACAGGTAATAACATTATTATTTTCTCGTGGGTGGAGTCAGAGTCATCAGCAGTAACGTCGAGTTAGACCCAGGATGGTAAAGTTGAAGATTTGTGATATTCTGGGCTGATATCAGCGAGTCATTTGTCAGATATTTATTCTGGGATGATTAACAGAGACGCACTGACTCCAGTTTTCCAAATGTGTTCTGCTGACTTAGATGATGTCTCTAAGAACCTGACAGCCTTACAAGCAAAAAGCAGCTTTTCTTCATAATTAAAGAACCTTTTTGAACATGAACTGTGGTGAGTTACAAGAGTTTCCTTCACTTAAACTACTGAACTAATGAAAGTGCTGAAAGTGAAGTGAAATGAGCTGCTGCCGGATACCCGACCTCACCCGACGTCACCGAGCCAGCAACTTTTTCCTGTTTTTCACTCGTCTCTGTAGTTTTGCTCGTAGCCGCCTTGATCCTTTGCTCATACCGAGGCTGCTAGCTTGCGGCTGAGGTTTGGATCACTTTGTTAACTGGCTGAGGGTGAATTACGAGTCTCGTGAGGTCTATTGTCTCCATCACTCACAGCGAAGAGCTCGCTAACAGCCACAGCCTCACACTAACGACCTGGCTGTGAGTCTGCAACTGAGTATTTGAACACATCGCTGTGTGTATGCTGCACATATATGAAACAGGCTAATTAAGTCAGGAACTGTCTGATCCTGGTCTCTGGTCGGTCGGTCGGTGCACCTCTAGATAGGGCTGCTCAATTAATCGAATTTTAATCACGATTACGATCTGGGCT